CTCATCTCTTGTCAACATCATATTGCACCCAATACTTCCATAAAGTGCAATTTAAACCCTGTTATATGCAAATGAACAATCTAATGCAATACAAATGTAATATGTGCACCTAATATGCAATCTAAACACCTAAATGCAACTTAAAACACTAATATGATCAAAAAAGAATATTAAAAACCATTAAAAACACTATATATCACTCCGCCTTACAGAAAAACAGACTATCATCAGCAAAGAGAAGATGAGATACTGAAGGACACGCACGCGTGATGCGCATCCCCGTTATCTTTCCTTGGTTCTCTGCGTGATTTAAAAGGCTAACCAGCGCTTCCGTGTACAGAATAAAAATGAAATGGGACAGAGGATCCCCCTGTCGTAGATCTCTCTCCGAGACGATATTCCCTCTTGGCTGTCCATTCATGACACTACAAGAAAATGTCACATATATAGCATGCGGAAAACGCTATTACAGGATAGCATAGCGTTATGGTGAACGCTGTGTCTGCCCCCGCAATCTTTTCTCGGGTATTTTACATTGCGTTTTGTATATGCTCTGTTAAATTATTAGTTTGATAGCGTTTTATTAGTTGTGCAATTGTATAATTTATAATAGCAAATAATAATGGCTATTATAGAATTATTAAAAAATAAAAAATAATAAAAATACAAATTTAAATACAAATAAAATATTATATTTTTTATATATAATCAAAATGGCTACATATTTATGACTGGTAATCAAACGAAACCAATATAAACCAAAAAATATCAAACCTACACCTAAAATTCTAAACATAAAGTTCTATAAATTAGCTCTGCACCACACCACGACCAACACCGTGAGAACTCCAACGTTGTCTCCATCTTCCAGTCACACACCAGAGCTTGGACCTTCTCCACTCTAAACCTAGTGTCCCCTCTGCTAACGACCCACCACTTTTGCTACCTCTTCCTCCATTAAGCTTCTCTGCCTTGTCCACCTTCGCATCTTGTGATGTTCTCAAAGGATATATTCTCAAAAGTTCAGCTAGTATTTGGATCAAGCATACATACATCATCCAAACCAATCTGCTAGCAACAAAAAAGAAAGCCAATTAACTTAAAGCAATTTTATTTATACAAAAGCTAAAAAATATTTGATCATTTCAACGAGTTAAGCATGATCGCCCAAGATTAAGCAAGCCAACAAATATTGGAATTAGGACATTACACTAACATAGAAAATCCGGTTTCCAACTCAAGTTCCCAAACCCAAATAAAAAGACAAACGAGCAGTTGCAACGTTTGCATCAACTTTGACCAGCAGCCTCTGTTTTTACACTGAGATGCACAACAAATCATAATCACCAGAGCCAAAACTATAATTCTCATACAAGTTTAGTGATTCCTCACCTCCTTAACAAGCTCTAGTACTCTTGGAAATCCANGGTTTCCAACTCAAGTTCCCAAACCCAAATAAAAAGACAAACGAGCAGTTGCAACGTTTGCATCAACTTTGACCAGCAGCCTCTGTTTTTACACTGAGATGCACAACAAATCATAATCACCAGAGCCAAAACTATAATTCTCATACAAGTTTAGTGATTCCTCACCTCCTTAACAAGCTCTAGTACTCTTGGAAATCCAATCTCATACTCTGGCTCACGTACTATATAATTCATAGAAAGAAAAACAAGAATCACACGAAGCTAAACACAACAAAGCCTTTGTTTTTGCTCATATTATCTTATCATTTTACCTTATCAAGATATGTCTTTGACCAGATTATTTTTCTTCTGTCTCCACACCAGATCTCCTTCTTCTTCCTAATTTAAGGATCTGCAACAAGGCAAATACATCAATCAAAATCCGAAAGAAACAAATACAAAAGAGATTCAGGTATCACCTCAGCCTATTCATGACGTCGAGTCTTCTTCATCAGCCATCTCCTCTTCTTCTGTCGTCTCCTCTTCTTCCCATCTCTGAGCGAAGTCCTCTCTATGGCACCAAGTGATCATCGTGGGGATCCTTTGCTCGTTACAAGCCTCTTAGTCGGAAGGAGATTTTGTT